GGTAACCTCCAGAAGACATCATCCTCATGGCCGAACCTCTTCTGAGTCTTGCTGCTGCCTCTAGTTTAAGGATGTGGGTGCATCATTTATCTCCAGTCTTTCTGGGGTCTATTCCAGTGCCTGCTACTCAAGGGCTCCATAATTAACATGCATAATGGATAGCTTGAAAGAAAGTGAAAGTGAAAGTTGCTCAGTCATATCCAACTCTTTGCAACCCCATGGACAGTACAGTCCATGGAATTCTCCAGGCCAGGATACTGGAGTGGGTAGCCTTTCCCTTTTCCAGGGGATCTTTCGAACCCAGGGATTGAACCTAGGTCTCCCACATTGCAGGTGGATTCTTTACCAGCTGGGCCACAAGGGAAATCCAAGAATACTGGAGTGGATAACCTTTCCCTTCTCCAGGGGATCTTCTTGGAACCCAGGTCTCCCGCATTGAAAGCAGATTATTAGCTGAGCCAATCTCCTATAAATAAAGGTGTAACATCATCATCTAGCTCTCAAAGTCCTCAGGCTGACTCCTTCATCCTTCCTTTTGTCATAACATCTCTCCACTCTCTTGTACATACTTTAATTCAGCCTCATGCACCAACTCTGTATCAGGTCACTGGTTTCACTTTCTTCACACCTTTTCTCCTCCTGTTTTGCACACCTGGACCCCTTCTTCTCACCTGCCACGCCACCTTTTAAGTCCTATGACACCTCCCCCATAAACATGCCGTCCACCTCAGGATAGTCTTTTCTTCTCTTTTGAACGTATAATTTGTGCCACTCCTATGGCCTTTGGAATTCTAACTGGGTGTGTTCTGGGCAAGTTTTGAATTTTCTTTGCACCAGCACAGTAACTGACACACAGTAAGAAATCAGTAAAAGTGTTTGTTGAATAAACGAATAACAGATTTGTACCCTGACCCCCTCATTGTTAAGGGAAAAATATTAGACGTTAGCAACCATGTTTAGTTTGCAACAAAAGAGGAAGTAAAAGAAAGTGAAGGTGCTCAGTTGTATCTGACTCTGCGACCCCATGGACTATAGCCTACCAGGCTCCTCCATCCATGGGATTTTCCAGGCAAGAATACTGAAGTGGGTTGCCATTTCCTTCTCCAGGAGATCTTCCCCACCCAGGGTTCGAACCCAGGTCTCACACATTGTAGACAGACACTTTGCCATCTGAGCCACCAGGAAAGAAGAGGAAGAAGATATGCAAATAAGGGAGATGGGCTTAATTACTGCCCTCGATTTTGCCCACTTTCCCATGCCATCCACACCATCCTCCATGTACCCTTCCTACTACCCAAAAGTCCATGCATTTGTGGTTACAGATACCCACTCTCCAAAACAAAACAAAAAAATCTGCATCAGGACAGGCATTGTATCAAAGACTAGGTGGGGGCTTCCTTAGTGGCTCAATGTTAAAGAATCTGCCTGCCAATGCAGGAGACTCAGGTTTGATCCCTGGATGGGAAAGGTACCATGGAGGAGGAAATAGCAAACCACTCTAATTCTTGCCTGAAAAATCCCTTAGACAGAGGGGCCTAGCGTGCTACAGTCCATGGGGTCACAAAAG